AAAAAATTAAAGGGTAGGTTCGGGAAAAATGTCAAATTAAATTGTCACCCTTGGTTTTTAAAAGGTTGTTTTGAAGGCACGGTTGGGGGGAATTATCGGGACATTAAAGGCAAAGGGCTAAAAAGGGTTTTTTTCCGGGGAAAAGAAAAGTATTGGTTTTTGAAATTTTTAAAAAGGGGGGTATTAAAAAAAAAACTAAAAGTCTTTTTTAAAAAAAACATTGGCAGGAAAAAAGGACACATTTTTGTTTTAAGAAAATCTTTTTTTTTTTTAAAACCCATTTGAAAAAAAAAAATCTTTTTCCCATTATTACATTATTTGGTGGTTTTTTAAAGAAAAAGGGGTTACATGGGGATTTTGGAAAAAAAAGTAAAATTTTAATCCATATTCCCAAAAGGCCCAAAATTTTTAAAAGCTTGGGAGGGGGGAAAAGGAAATTTTTTTTCCTTTCGGGGGGGGGAAACAAAGTTTTTGAAAAGGTTTTTTAAAAAAACACATTAATGGAGTCCCCTGCTGTCAAGGACCGGGAAGCAAGCCCCCAATGGGTTTTTTTCAAAGGGGGACCAGGGAAAAAAAAAAAATTTTTTCCCCCCCCCCCCCCCCCCCCTCCCGGTCTCGCTCCCTACCTCCCGCAGCTTCTTCGCCCAGCTCTGCTGTTTAGATGCTTCACTGTTAGTTGAACGATGGTACCGTAGTCGTAGCACTTGGCAATCGATCGTGTGCGCTATGTTACGGAGCGTGTTAAGTATCGGTAGATGTTTCGGTTTCTTACCAAAGGTTGGAGGTTTGCGCTTTGGTCCGTGAGAAATTGGCTTCAAAGCTGAAAACAGCCCGAGTTTGCGAGGGCAACACTTCTGCGTTTCTCGGAACGAGCAGCAACAGCAGAAGCAGCGGCGGAGGCCCATGATATGGGTTTTCTGTGATTGTCTTGTAACCCAAAATAACTGGCACTAAAGACGTCGCGGCGCGTTGAGCAGGCAGAAGAGGGTCTCTAATTCTACATACAACTAGTAGTTGTGGCACATCCCGCGCTTTCTGACTGTCGTTGAGTCATAGTGTTAAATTGCATGTATAATAAAAGACTGGACTCTCTGAACGCTACCGCATACGAAGCGTTTCTAACCGCAAGAGATGCATCGCTGTTCCCCACGGCAGGGAACTCTGGAAGTGGAAACGGTTGCTAGTTTGAGTTCTCTCACCAAAGTCGAGCATTGTGCAGTACAGTTCAAGGTTAAGTTAAGAATCATGCGGGGCTAATATACCGGCCTTGAACACAGCATAGTCATACTTGCAGGAAAACTCAGAACATGCTTGCCAGGAATTACAGCTTTATTCTATATCGATCCTCCTAAAAATACTGATTTAGTCGGTTGCGTGTGCCGAACGTGTTTCAGATGTTTAATCTGTTCAACCGTACCCGAGACACCAACAACAATACATCAATTCATCTTGTAATCCCTTGTTTGTGTCTGTGATATCAACCGCTCCACGTGGGAAGACTTCTTCATGAAAGTGCTCTAGTAGGCAAAGTTTTCGAGACGTAGTTGTGGCGAACATGGGGGCAATGGAGATTCTAGATTACAACAACACATTGGGGAAGAGAGACAGGGACTACGAAGTAAAGGAAGCAGCACGTGTGGGAATAGAAAACGCAAGGCAGCTACTTCAATCGCTGACGCAGGTGCAACCCCCAGTTGTAGAGGAGGAGTACGACATGATGGCTGGCACTGCCATATCCAAGTTCCAGAAGGTGGTGTCCTTACTCACCCGCACAGGCCATGCACGATTTCGAAGGAGAACTCGTGATGCCGTCACTGCCAGTTACGCAGGCGTCTTCCTTGAAAGCTCAAACTTCTGTACAGATAATACGCAGGACGCTTCGAGGGACAGAATCGTCTCATCGGGTCATCCCAGCCCATCACCGTTTAAGTCGACGTTCACGCCAACGTCCTCCTCCAAGCATCCGCAGTCACCTGAACCGCAACGCACGTTATACCAGGTACAACATTGAAACCTCTCAACTCCCCACAGAATCTTGAGATCCTTGTCTGTAGTTAGTCTTTGCCCCTACTATTCTTGGCATGTCTGATCGGGAGATGGTTTTTCCCAATTGGTCAGGTATTTCCTGTAAGCTCTACTTCTGCTGGTGAGACTTCTTCCCCCACCGAGCATGCGATGGGCGTTCATCACCCTAACCCGCATCAGATTCTTCACAGCTCTATGATGCAACAAGATCTTTCGGAGCACATGCAGCGTCTAGCAACTGCTTCTTATCGGTCAGCTGCCCCTCGGTCAAAATCGTTCAGTAAACAAGAGACGGGCAGCAAGGAGACGGGCGGCGGGAACAGTCCAGACAGTTCATTGAGCTCAGGGCCTCCACAGTCGGCGACAACCATGCCATTCTCAACCATGAGTGTGCACGATGCTAGGGCCGCAGGTCAGCAGAATGTGAAATCTGTCGAGCCGCCATCGGCATTGCCCCCTCGCCCTCAGCCATCGAATCCCAGAAAAAAATGTTCGGGAAAGTCAGATAAGAACGGCGCGACTTGCGCGATCCTTGGACGATGCCATTGTTCCAAACGCAGGTATATGACGCACGTGCTAAGTCCTGCAAATTCGGACATGGAAATCTGATTGATTTCGTTGTTGCTGGAATTTGAAAGGTGACGTGAAATTCTACTCTGATACTAGATTCGTTTTTGACAGGAAATTGAGGTCGAAGAGAACAATCACAGTGAAGGCAATAAGCACTAAGTTGGCTGACATACCTCCAGACGAGTATTCATGGCGCAAATATGGTCAGAAGCCTATCAAGGGCTCACCGCACCCGAGGTTTCGACATAAACCTTTCTTGAACTTGGCTAGTTCCCTCAATTTGGTAGCTTGCTGTCTGCATGTTTTGGGGCTTTGATCACTTTTAATCATAGTTCTGAATTTGAGGCTATTTTGGCATGCGCAGAGGATACTACAAGTGCAGCAGCATCCGGGGCTGTCCAGCCAGAAAACACGTGGAGAGGTCCATGGAAGACTCAACCATGTTGATTGTCACATATGAAGGCGAACACAACCATTTGCGCTAGTTACCCGCCAATGGCGGATTGGCAGTACAGTCATAATCGACAACAAGCATGTTTATTGCCTCAGCACTACAAGCTTGCCGTGTGGTGGAGTAAGCGCAAAAACTACTCAATGCTCTTCATGATCTCTGCAGGCATTTCGAGTTTATACCCATTTTGTACTCCGATTTTTTGTGAACACATCAACTAGGATAGAAGGTCCACCATCCGACGACGAAGCCGGCGACTTGCGCTCTCATGCAGTGTTCGAAGGCACAATTGACCCGAGGTTCGTGCCCGACAAGAAAATACCTTCAAGTTACTACGTCTGCCCACAAAGCCAGAAACAAGCAGCTTATAATAAAGACTAAGAGTTGGCACAAAGTCGAAGACATCTGTGGACTATGGTTTTCGATTCTTCGGCGAAGTGTCTTCCCCTTTGGAGTAAAGAGAAAGAGAAAAGCACTTAAAGTCGAGTATCCGTAGGAATGTACATAAAACAATTGGATAAGTTATATAACCCATAATGACTTGCAATGGAAGCAGGACAATACACCACTGAATACTTCTGAGTGCGTCACCTACAGCCCACTGCCTCCACATTTTGTCTGGTGGAAGCTATTAGTGATGATTCCAAATACAACAGAAAAAAATATATTAGTCCGCGATGAGGTTTCCCAACTCAGTAGTTGCGAGGTACCCCAAGTAGGGTTGCCTGAATCGTGCTCTACACAAATCCCTGAGCTCACAACCGCACGTAATTCTAACAATCCTCGAACGGATAACTAGTCCAACATGGAGGAGACACAAGATGAGAGGAACTGTGAACTGCGTTCTTTCGTGCTAAAGTAAAATGTCCTCGAAAACAGCCTCGCGACGAACATGAATCGAATGGCAAGTAAGAGAGTAGATTTTAACAGTAAGATGTGTCGCAGTGCCCACCATGCTCTCACTTCCCGAAGTCGCTAGATCCAAATTTAAATGAGCGAAGCAGCGCCTCTAAGATGCGGAATTCAAGGCGTGAAGGGCTGAGCACCCATGACCCATACAGCAAAAGTGAAAGAACGAGACAGCAATCCAGTGAAGAGTTGAAATATATCGCTGCAGCAGCAAAGGCACATCAGAAGATTTTGTGAATGGAAGAGACGAGGGTGTATATATATATATATATATATATTGGATTGAACTGATCCTTTAAATAATCTGAAAATTCATTGACACACAATAATACAATTGGCATTAGATTTTATTACACATTGTTTTACAAAATTGTATCCATTACCTTTAGCATTGTAGAATTTGAAATTTTAGTTCTGTAGATGTGGTATTTCTCTATCCGTTTCTGTTGCATAATGAAACTTTCAAAGTATGAAGCTTAAGCACAACTTCAAAACTGTTAAATAAAATGTGTAAAAAAATCCAAAACAGAAATCTTTGAAGATATTGATTTGAGACTTTGAATTCATACTTTGCACCAGGAATTTGACACTCTTGCAGCACTTGTGCACACGATCACTAATATTTGAAAATCTAGATGCCACAACATGGAAGCTAACTTGAATGTATCACTCAAATCCTTACATCAGATGATCTAACATACATATTTGTACGATTGTAGTACATGGGAGCTACTCAAATTGCATTGAGTATAAGTGCCAGTTTTAAATACACATGAAACACTGTGAGCATGCAAAAGTGACCCAAAGTATGTATATTGGACATCATGACACAATCCTACATGCACAGTATCTGTACCCACCTTATGACCAAAACATAAAAAAAAAGTATGCATATTTGATTTATGACTAGATCCTTAATATCTAGAAGAACTTGAGATGGGTAAAAGTATTTAATAAAAAAAATTGTGTATGGAAGATATGAATGAGTGATTTTGAATATACAATTAGGAAAACTATAATAATTTAAGTTTGTATCTAAACACTTTTCTGACCTAGCTTAACATAAGCATTTCATTATTATTCTAAATAGTTGTACTTAAAATATCAATTTCCAAATACAATAATTTTTTTATCTATGACATTACAAAATAATGAAAGTTTATTTTATAAACAAAGAAAATGGAAAACCAGAACAAAAACCAAAAGTTCAAAGTTGTTTGCAATGGGACTCGAATTCCATTTTTTGAAAGTGGATTTAGAAAAAGGTCTTAAGCACTAATGATAACAATGTGCATCAGAATTAAAAATGCATGCATAACATGCTTAATACAACCAAAAACTTTTTTGATATGTTTTTTTAAATTTTGATATGTAAATTTAAGTATTTGTTCATAACTACATTCTAGAGTGATATTTAACAAAGATCAAAGTATGATTTAGATAAAAATATGAGTGATTTGAATAAGTTTAGCAACCTGAAATCTGAAATAAATTTTGCGATTTGGGTTCAAGATGTCTAACAGTAATTCAAATAAACAATTTTCAAAAGCTGTGTACAGTAAAATGATGATTTCATAACACTTTAGTTTCCTGAACAATGATGCTGGTAATAATCCTCATATAAAAGTACTATCCATAATTGGAAATATAAGCATTAAAATATTACTATGCTTTTATGTTCTTGAGTACCTTTTCAAAATAAAGATAAGTTTAAGATTGAAACAAAATTTTATTTCAGTTTTTATAATATATCTCAGAAATGCACTAATATTTGATTGTCAAAATGAAAATATATATATATATATATATATATATATATGAAAAGGTGAGCACAAATTATAATGTCCACAAGAAACATGAAAAAATTCCAAATCAGTGGGTTGTTAGAAAATTTATCACAAATTTAAGTAGATATAATGTGAATTGAAATTATGAGCTGAAAATAATGATGATGTTTCTAGTTTCAAAAACCTTTCAAAAAAGCTTTTGTAACTGTTACTGAACTTATGAATAAAATATTCTTCAAGGTGATTGAATTATGCTTTATATTTAAAAAGTTGGAGAGATGGAAAGAGAATTTTTTTGTTAATGCTACATCTCCATTTGATATTGCTACACCCTAATTAATATCTACATTGGTGAAGTCAAGCAGCAATTCCTTTATTGGGGTTTTTGATGGCAGAGTGTGAGTCATCAAAATGACTCCCTTTTATTTTTAGACAAAAAGATGCACCTATAGTATCAAATAAATAAATAAATAAATAAATAGTTAGAAAACTTAAAGAAGTAGAGAAGTTGAGCTAGTAGTAGGAATATGGCTCTTTGAAAGAATTCTTATATATCTTTCTAGGATAATTATATTTTTGAAAGGTTAGACTTCATGTTATCTTACTATTAGTTGTGATTTGTAGCAAATTGTGATTGGTTGATCAATCAATTGAAGAATTTATAAATACGTAAGATTATATAGCTGGATTTTTTTCTTATTTATTTATATTGTAAGGTCTTGGATTTAGCAAGGACTCAACACACAATAAGTTGATGGATCTGGTAGAGATAGTAATTTGGAAGTTGTTGTATTTATAAAACATTCTTGGCGACAACATCTCAATCATGTTAAAATGAGTTCTATTAGTGTTGGAGACATTACATAAGCCAGAAAATATAAACATTGTGAAAGGAATGGACAACAAGGACAAATACAACATGGTGCCATAGACAATGATGGAGCTATTGTTTTAAAGACAATAGAGATGTGGTTTTGATGATAGATAGTGTCAATGGAGTTGATAATTCACATTCCTCAAGAAGAAATATCACTGACATAGAATTTGGCTGCTTGCAAGAGTCTCTCTATTATTGTTTGGGTTTTTTGAATTGGAAGCTCTACATTCTATAGTATATTGCGGTGTTGTTATAGTGCCAAATCACCATTTGGTTATTTGAATTTCAAAAAAAATAAAGACATTAAATTCAAAAAGAATATAATTGCTATAGATATTTTTTAAAATCCAAAAATCAGAAAGGTTTTAATTAAATAATAGATGATTATACTTCTACTTTTGTTTTTGAAGTATCTATTGAACATGTTGGCATTTAAAAAAAAGTGTGGTATAAAATATCAAAGCCAATCAAAGTTAAAGTGTACAAGGTTAAAGTTCAATCTAAGATATAATATAAAACTATCAAAAATATTTTCTAAAAATGTATATTTTAATAACTTTGAATCAATCTAAATTTTAACAAACTATGCCAAAAGCATATGCATAGTTCTAAAACCAAAACAAAATATGAAGATGAAGAAGACATATGTCTATTTTTGTAGTTCTTAAGTAGACTTATTTTTTAATTCTAAAATTAATACTATTAATCTATAAATAAAGACTTAGCGATGAGTTTAAAAAATCTAAGAAAAAAATTATTTATTACAATTATACAAGTCAAAACAATAGAAAAAAAAAAAAAAACTGAATGGACAAAGCTTCTAGAATCAAACTTTTAATTCAATTGAAAAGATGCATGGTTTTGTTGCAAAATATTAAAAGAGGTCATATTGATGTTATTAATTTAACATAGAAGAAAAACAATAAATGCATAGACATTAAAAATCAATCCAAAGATATTATCTTTTTGTCCTTTATGCAATTCTTTGTAAAGAATAACTAATATATTATACATTTTGGAATTGATTGTTTGTCTATTGGATTTATAATTGGAACTTCTTTTTTATTTCATAAAATAGCCACAAGTCCAAGAATTTAGAGATGTTAGAGGGATATTTTTGTAGAAACAAAGTGTGTTATAAATAAACAAACATCTAAATTTTAAATGATTTTGTATCATTTAGTCTTTACCTAGAATTTTATGTAAGAGAAATAATATTTGGATATAAAGAAATGTATATTTTTCATAAAACTGAGTTCTTAAGAAATGTACACATTTTTAAACTAAACTAATCCAACATAACAGAATACATACAAGTATAATAAAAAGTAACATGCAGTAAAATAGATACCAACCAGACCAAGAACAAGAAAAAGAAAAAGAAAAATCATTAGATTCGGTATAATTTTTTTTAAATCATTAATTTCATCATTTATGCAAGAAAATATTAAAAAAATAATAATAATCATAACTTTAGGCAATATAATATTGGTTGATTTAATACTTGTCTTTTATTATGAAGTCTACCTTAAGCTCAATATGCTTGGCATCTAGATTTTCTTTCAATTTATGCATTGGGTATACCTTGCTTTGCCTCCGGGAAAAAAAAAAAAAAAAAAAAAAAAAAAAAACAATAACAATAACAACAATACTTAGTCAAACGGTGATGGGACCCGATGCGCCTTGGGTCGGTGATCGGTGGTTGTCTCGGTACCCTAAACCCGCGCCGCTAAGCGCCGCAGCAGTCGAGGAAAATGATCAGCATTGACGCGTCGAGCACAGACAGCCAGTTCATTGTCCAATAAGCCTCGGCGATGGTTGTGAGTACGTGAGGCGTGAGGAATTGGGTACATGAGATCGAGAGAGCAGGACCGCCATGACCACACTCCCGATCGTCAACTGCACCCGATCCCCCCATCTGCATCATTGTTTGCAGTAGTTGCTGCACATCGATGTGTCTGCAGCGTGGGGCACTGAATCGATGTAGTGATCCTGGATGGGGAACCGCACATTATTTGAGATTTCCCCCAACAGAATGTATTGCGTGTGTATGTGTGTGTGTGTGAGTGTGAGAGTGTGCGCTTTTCCCAGAGAATTCGATGCTTAATGTTATTGAGTTCGATTGGCTGTGCTGAGGAGAAGCTAAGGAGAGTGGAGTTCAGACGGCCGCAACCGAAATGCTGGCTGCTTCACTGTAAGTCAACCGCTGGAACAGAAACGGTTAATTCCCGTCATCCTCCGCTGATAGCATGGCCCCCCCATCTCCAGTGTCCAGATTGCACTTCTTTAAACCTATCCAATTTCCCAGTCTGTCCACGACCGCCATTTTCGCAATGCTCTTTCCAACATACTGTAGTTTTCTGTCCCCAAGTGTTTCTGTTTCTTTTGGTCTTTTAGCGAAGATAGTGCTTTACCAAGCTCTCTTCCTCGTGGAAATTGGCGAAGTGTAAGTGACTATGCTTTTGTCTGCTGCATCGTGACCTAGTAATGCAGCTATTCTTTCTCCACGGGGGCTTGCGTAGCGACCTAACTAAAGACTGAGTAGAAATGTCATTTGCAAACTGGTGTGCCGTGACAATGATGGTCCATCAGTGTCAATATACAACTGGTCATATGAGCATATGGTATTCCCGATTGTAGAAGTTTGGTTAATTGTTCTCAAGTTTTTATTATGGCTTCTTCGGATTTGCGACTGGTTCGCGACAACAGTCGCGACACCCAGCAGTACCTTCTGAACACCCAGTTTCTGTCCAACGGATGCTCTGGTCGAGTGCGATTGCAGGACTCAATGTGTGACAAGCCTGGCCCTTCCAGCCCCTTGATGTCTACAGCACTGCCGCTACTTGCCAACCACATCTATGGCACCATCTCTTCCCCAGCTACGCTCTTGGATTCACCGATACAGACCGAGCTCTCCACAGATCCTCCCACTGCCTTCAGTGAGCAGGTGAGACATGAACTTCGCAATTGAGAAATTAATTTTTCATCAGAGAGCATCATGAAAAGCATGCTTGATGGCTGACTGGCTGAATGTTGAGCGTGTGTTTGCGAATAAACCACTGCTCAATTCTTAAACGTACATGTTATAATTCCCACATCAAACACAACTCTAAAGGTACTTCTGTTAAGGGGTGTGGCCTGAGGAAAATTCGTTGACATTGACAGGAAGACGATATCCTGCGAGAGCTCGTCAAACGACATGGAACGAAGAAGTAACTTTTCTTAACATAGCGTGTATTCATTATTGCGGGGGGGATATAAACTTGTCTATTCATGCGTACATCTGTGGAGGATCCTGTCTTTTAAATTATCATCCATAGGATTATCTTATTTATTTATTTATTGCAGGATGTATTTTGGTGGTTCTGACCAACTTACGGCTTGTGAAAAAACAGATGGCACATTATCTCATCAAAAATGCAGAAAAAGACACCTCGCGAGTGCAGAAAGAGGTATCAGTATGGTTTCTTGCCCCCTCATCAACTACAATTCAGAATCAGTGAGTTTTCACCTGGGTATCAATAATAACTAACGAAACAATGTGTGAAGCTGGATGTTGTGTGTAAGATCGGATGACTTGAGTCTGTGCCTGTGTCTTTGTGGCTATCTCATAGATGGCGCACATATCTTCACATGTGCATGAACAAAAGTAGCTGGAGTGCTGAGGAAGACCACCTACTCCTCCAGGTACATTGTTCTCACTTGGGTGTCAACGTGTGATAATCTCAGAGCCCAGAATCATTTTCAGTTCAAAACTGTCATCCTTTCTTACAAGAACACTTGTGACATGTTGCAGGGCCACAACGCATTCGGGAACCGCTGGACAGAAATCGCAAAAATGGTTCCCGGGAGGTATTAATTCACCATCTAGACCATAACTTCTCGAGGATTTTTATCTTCGATTTTCTCTTAAGCAAATTGCTTACTGGACGCATTTTTTTTTAAAGAAGCGTTCCAATACCCTCACCGAGAATACCTCCGCCAATAATAATCACCACATAACTTCACTGCATCCGTTCATCAGTGCGCCCTCTCCTATACCGTCTCCATCTCCAACCCCCACCTGCTGCAACTACTGCTACGTAAGACTCCTGCTGACTGGTCGTCCAGGAATAAGTCAGAGTCCAAAACAGCCTCCACTGTGGCATCGCCTCGACGCTCAAACGGGGGATTCCACGACATTAGCCCCGTTCGCCGTTTTTACCTTTTTTATACCGTCATTTGAGAGGCATGTGCTGATTAGGTTTCCATTCTGTTTAAGGGTTCAAGGACGTAGAGCCGATCAGACAGGTCCCAGAAGCCTGCACTGAAAAAGTTAAGGACAGTACCCAAAACCAACAGGCATTCAACGTGAACGGTACCCCTAATCTTATCTTGTGATTCAGGTCTCATCAGTGCCACAGTGGAGTGATGAATTCATTTGAGCCTTAGCAACTGATAAAATCTCTGATCTGGCCCCAACAGTAATCCCTCCTCTCAGCCATTTCGATATCCATAAAACCTCTCCACCTGCTGGCACGGGTGATTGGAACACGCCGGGAGTACTTTCTTGGCTCCATTTACCCCACTACCAGAGCCCCCTCCGAGAAGCTTCAATGCTTAAGCTGAAACAGTCATACGCTACCCTAATTGCAAGTTTGTGAGGCTCACCAAGGCCTTCGTGCGATCCTTCGAGCAGGACGGACAATGCTGTGAAGAACCGCTATAATGCATTATGCACCAAGAGATCTCACTCGACACTGAAAGCAGGCAACGGCTACAACGCGGCTTCGACTGGAAGAATACACCACATCGAAGAGGCATGGAACGAGGCCAATGCTTACTGGCATGGACACGACTCAAAGCGCACCAAGCGTAGAAACCAAGACGACGACGAAGACGACGACGGACGAAGACGAAGGTTCTTCGGAGCCCAGTAAAACTCCTTTTTTCCCACGCCTCGCCTCTTTGTGTCTTCCCCTACAATAATAGACGATGTAATTTCCAACCTATGTGTAATTGTAATGTAGAACTAAAACTATAAAGAAAACAATATACAGAATATGTTATAGTATACTGTATGGATCATCTAGCAACCAAGGGAGGAAGTCGTGTTCAGAGCTACAAACATGGCATGCTTGAAATCCAACCACATAATATCTGAGACTTCTTGCTCACCACTTGATTTTACCATTGACGAGATGCCTCAAGCAAATTTTGACCTCCATCGTAAGTCCATTTGCTGTAACAAAGCCCTTATATTATCCCCCAATCCTTCTATCTGTGTATCTGTATTCAACCCCAACAAGAGATTTGTTTGCACCAATTAATAATGGTTTTCAGTAAGTGGGTGTAGATCGTACCATTCATGTGTCCTGCAGCATTAGTTTACTCAAGTTGTTGGTTTAAGTATTTAGCATGTGTTGGTATGGAAATCTGAGGTGGTTTCAAAATTGTGCAGGCATGAGAATGTTGAGGAAGCAAGTGGGTGGTGGCAATCATGCTTCAGACAGTAGAAGTTTGCTAGAGGTCCTATTCTGTCGAATTTGTACATGGATTTGCTTAGTCTGCAAATTTGTGTGCCCATTTAACCAATGACTAAATATAAGTAAACATAACACGCATATGATACATGGCATGTTAATTTAATTAGTAGGAAGGTTGAATTGTCAGGGCATATTGCCTGCCAGCGTGGATGACTCCGCCACGTCACCCAGAGATGGCCCCGTTGACATGGACGAGGTGATGGGGTGGTTGCTGACGTCAGCACAAACGCCGACACCCACCATCGATTGCAGCGCAGATTCTGTTCATCCATCCGTCTCGTCTTGTGGTCGGATGAAGTCCCCGTCTGCCATCCTTCGGGTCGATGCTGAGCTGGACGCTGAGCTGGAGCTCTCTGACATCAAAGAACCCTAAAACCCTGTCCACCTGGCAAGCCAGCACTTCGAAGCCTCCGTTATGAGAAGCTCTCCCCTGCCACGTCACATGATTTCCCTGTACAATAAAGAAAGAACGAAAGAAGGTAATCTGTAATTGATTATCTCAATTGCAATGGATAAATTGAGCACTTTCAGTTTTACTTGAAAGATTGGAATATGCGCTTAATCATCACAATTTCTTGAATTCTTTTTATCTTTTTTTTGTTCTTCATTTTTAGTTTTAAAGTAGCAACATTGAGGAAACCCACTTGAAAGGCCCCAAGCACTCAAAAAGTGGTGGTATATTTCTTTAAAGATCAAATAGCAAAACCATGTATTTAAAATAAAGTTATCATGTTCTTATAAATGGCTTGGCATAAACTATTCAAATGAAGTGCTTGTACAGAAGGTAACTCACTAGTGTGTGTTTACTGAAATGTTTGTCTCTGGAAATTGAGTTTGAAGCTCAGTTAGTTACATTATCTTTCATAATGTTAACATAACTCAAAGGCATTGTTCTGTTTGTTTAGAATTGGGAAAAGTCACCATCACATTTAAATTATTGAAATGGTTTGTAAATGATGTGGGCTTTCAGTGAAACTTGACACAGGTAATAAAAATTCACAACAACCAGAATAATAAGAATGTTATCAAACAGAAAAATAATTGTGTAAAATTTTTGATATCAAACTTATGAAAAGTATTACATTGCTTATTTGTTCAGCTTAGAAAATGTAGAGAAAATTGAAATTGGTCAACTACCTGGTTATCCACATTTCTTACAATTGTGACTTGAAGAAAAATCTTAGTGTAATGTAACATAGGATTTATAATGTAAAATAAGGCTTAATTTGTGTGCACGAATAATATTTAATTACAGTATCCATGGCCCTTGTCACTTAAATTTTTTCTGTTACAGAGACATTTTTTTGCCAAGACACTTCACAATTTAATAAACCACCACAAGTACAGGTTGATGAACAATGTGGAACTGATTCCATTGTAAGTTGTCACACCCTGCTTGGACACAATAATATCACAAATACAAGAGATTTTTTTGGGTTTGGACAGTGACAATTTGTAAAAAGAAGTGATGTTATTTTGTATTGTATCATTTGTATAAGTTTTCTGCATTTCCAGCATTTCAAAAAAATGTAATCACATGCATGAAATAAAGATAGAAAGAAATATAATTATATCAATTTAATTCGAATAATTGATGTGAGGAGCAAATACCTTCACACAGGAAGTGAACAATTAATACTGAAGGGTACAATTAAAAGATTGACGAATTTTATAAATTCACCAGCAACTCAATAATAAAAATAAAGATCAAATCTGAAAGCAAATATCCTTTTTCATTTACTTTTTAATTTATTAAAACTAAACACAATAAATATTCTTCTGTACTTATTAAATTTTCAGAGTTAGGTGATTGTGCATCACAACCACCAATTGTAGAAAATGTAGTATTCATCATTGAAATTTGAAATTTTTGTGTAACTAATGCCGTTAAATTATTGCATTGATACAAATATGTTGAACATATAAACAATAGTTATTCTTTTGAGCAAAAGTACAAACATCAAATTTCATTTAAACTTATTTAAGTACTATTTAAGATTTCATAATGTTGAAATATTAGTTTTTTTATTTTGTTTGTGTGTATGTATGTATATAGTGAATCCATCACAACCAACTTGGAAATTTACAGTTTGCTTCCTTGACTGTCAAAGACTCATGAAAGACTTTCAGCGATTTTCACTCTACTTGCCAATGAATAAAATTTTAAAAATGCATAGGATGTCCATGCCTCACTCAAAATGTATTCTATTTGAAAATTTTCAATCACCCTTTATAACATGTGACAGTGCAATCTTGTTGTTTTAAAATTCAACTTTAACACTTTGAATATGGATACCACCTAATTTTTTTAACACATGGGATATAACATGCATGTTTGTTCTTCTCCAACAACCTTTTTAAAAATTCTACACTTTAAAATATATTTACATATTGAATCAGAAGAAGAAAAATGTGTGAAACATGTTTTGTACAACGGGAATTTATCATGACACATCTACAACTCTAAACACTGAACAAACTTATTGTCCATAGCATTCATGAGATATTCCAAACTTTAAATTTATAAAGGATTTATTATCCACATTTTGCTCAAGAAATCCACTTGGTCCTACATGCACCCCAAGAGAGAGTATGGTTTAGGGATAACTATATGGGATTGCATAAATGCCTCAAAGAAACTGTTTCCAACGATTGCTACTGAAGGAAGATAAATATTTGTAAAATATGTACATCAAAATCAAGATTTTGAATATGTTTGATACTTCTTAGTGTATCCACTACCTCAAAATGATATAATGCATGCACATGAAAATTGTTATATATATATATATATATATATATATCACTTGCATAAAATTGTGGATTGTAGTTGTGTACACAACACTTCAATGCCACTTTCTCTACTGTGTGTAGCTAATGCAACTTTATAAAATATAAAATAAAGAAAGAAAGAAGTACACACACAAACATTGAGCTTGGAGGGAGGGGGCTGCAAAACCATCTACCCTAACCTTGACTCCACAGATGACAACCCTAAAATCATATTCACCCACAACCTGGTTTGCCAATAGGGGTCATGTGAGCCCAAAGCTCAACACCACTGTCCATCTGAAATCAGTTTTTCTAAACCACAAATGGACAAACTCTGTGGATTAATGTTACAGATATACTACTAAGCCACATTATATTGATAGAATGCTGGATTTAGAATTGCATGTTTCTAATCAAAAACTTGGCTTTTCAAGGGTGTGAAAGAAAGATTGTGCCTTGTACATGTGTGTGCAATCAATTGTTGAAATGGGATTGTTAACACTACTATAATTCTTGATATTGTCACCACAACTTATTCTTTATAAATTTCTAATAATATTAATTAAAATTTAATTATTCTATATTATAAATATTAACAAAAAATATTGGAATTTTAAATATATATATATATATATATATATATATAATAAATGGTAGGCTATCCTTGTAGTAGCTTTAGCAATATCATATATATATACTTTCTTTCTTGAAGCAATGTTTTTATCTATATATATATATATATATAATCTGGAGATTCACAATTTTTAAATCAGAATTTTAGTAATCTATAGTTGGCATATGTTTAGGAATTAGTGGCTTTCTAATTGTACTTACTTTTGTCTTACTATGAAGCTTCTTATCCTTCTTACTATATTGTTCAGTTATTTACGTATTGCTTGCTATTTACTTGTAACTTACTGCTGCAATGTGTGGAGGTTGGTTGACAACTGAAGGTATTTGTTATTGAAGTTAACATTAATTCACTAGCTTAATAAATTTAATTAAGTGAACGTATTGCAACATGAATATTCACTTCTAACTACTACAAGAGACTTACTCTAATCATCCAGTATTAAAAATTACTATATTAGTTATTAGATTGTTCATCAAGGTCTAATTAACACACAACTATACACTTTACAAGGTCACTCAACTACTGGTCAGCTACTATGTTTACATGACAATACTACTAACTTATTATCATGAAGTTCTAAATTTGTGATCATGGTATATTTGACTGTGTGAGAACAACAGTAAAACATTATATAAAATTTTACACAAGCAATAATACGTATATTTGTTCATAATGTTTTGATCATTCTTGTATTTTAACAAATAACCATCATGGCCCTGTTTCTTTAGATACTGTTATAATCATATTAAGTAAACTGTTTGTGTAATACCACAATTATGTCTTATTACTGAATTTTGAATATGTCGAATACTGTTGTTAGTACTATTTTTTTCAGTCAATTTTAGTTCAATATTTAAGCTTAGAGTTTTATTTAGTTCTTTGAAAAAATGTTTTAATTGAATCCTTCAGAAGTCTCCAAGACTTAAATAGCTCAGACAAAAAGGATCAAACTGAAATGTTCTTAATTCAAGAAAAGGTAAATACTTTGCAGGTTTCAAAAGTCTACTTTGTATGTACGTGTATATATATATATATATATATATATATTTATTTATATATATATATTTATTTATTTGTGTGTGTATGTAAACACAGATATGTATACAAAAATTCATGCATACCAATTATTTACACAATAATAGTTTTCAAAATTACACAAGTAAAATAAAACCAAACATAATAATAATAATAATAATAATAATTACAATATCTCAAAACCAATTACATTACATATGTATACTTGCACTTTACTTTTATATATTTATTGTAGCTCTGTAACCTTGATTTATAACCTGTCCTCTTTTTTTATACAAGGAAAACTATGGAATGTATATGCATTCAGTATGAATCTACAAAATAAAAGTCCAAACAAAATCCAAAATTTAAGAAACATCAATGTTTTCAACATAGATCAAAGCTGTTTTTATAACATTGCACCCATGTTCTGTGATCTAATATGGGATATATACCAATAAAAAATAAAAAATAAAAAATCCTAGGATATATGGCAAGAGATTTTGGTCTTAAAGTTAAGATTGTAACAAGTTTGGAGAATAAGTCTATGCAATGAATGAATTGATTTTGTAGCATTGAGACTTTAAATGGGAAGTTATAAAACTTCTCATTAGTGCACATATTTTGAAGTACTTATCTCGTTATGTCAACGATATTCAGCAGTTACCTTTTAGAATCATATCTTAAAGTAAGTTTTTTATTCCAAATACATTATTGGTGTTCAAATTGATAATTTAACGAACAAGGAATATGTGACAACTTCCCTTTTTTTTTTTTTTTTTTTTTTTTTTTTCTTTTTTTTTCTATAATCTCCAGGATTTTTTTTTTAAATGATTAGTACCCTACTCACACATGTTAAATTGGAGAGAACATAAATAATTTAGCCTCCTAATTTTTAATAGTACATGTGAACAAATCAATTACATCTCATTCTCTAAGATCTGTTATAATATTATGAACTTAAAAATGACTAAAATCAATAATAAATCGCTTTCCATTTCGCCCTGTTTGATACAATTAAACCACCAAAGTAATTAGAAAAGGAAAAAAAACATTCACACATTTCTTTGTTTTTATTATATGCAGGTCCCTGGAAATTTTACCAGGAGTTAGTTTAGTTCCATAAGGAGAATTCATGTCAACTTTATTTGTTTACCATGCACTTTTTTCTATTGTCTTCTATCTTCAAATTTAAAGGACATTGAGAATATTCTTCTATTTATTTTGGGTATATTGGAGATAAATTACCTTGAGCATTTATAAGCTTACATTTTATTAATGAGAAAAAGAAAGTACATGCAAGAAAAAATAAGCCTTTGGCGTACCATGCACTCATTCCACTATCACTAAATAAATAAATATA